ACTTTTCACACATCTTTTTCATTGTTACATTGTATAACAAACTTTTGAGAGATTTTAGTAGAGAATCGAATGGGGAATCTTTTAAAAAAAATTAACTTTAGAGGACGTGAGAGGGAGGAGAAAACTTGAAAATACACATCTTCTAATTCCGTACGCCGCATCCGTTAAATCTTTTTTTCTTTTGTGTTTACTGTCAATTTGTGTAAAGTTTTCGATAAAATTTCTTTTCATGTCTCAACTTTCATATAGCATATAATTGATTTTACTTCTCAAATCGTTTATTTACTTGAAAAATTTTAATTTATTGTTATTATTATACACTGACTACTAAATAGTGCCTCAACAAGTGTCTCCTAACAATAAGAAAGAAAAGAACACCATGCTCATTTTATACAAATACATAAGGTGGTTTTTGTTTTTTCATTAGTTGTAGTTTATTTTATAGTTTAACGTGAGTAAAGAAAGTTGGTATTAGCTATTTAACCAAATGACTATTTAACTTCAATGAAATTCAAATGATTTTTTTTGTACAATGTAGTAAAACGTCTCTCATTTTAAGTGCTAGAATGATACAAATTCAGATAGCTCGACTATCATCTGTTCTCCATACTGAGTCACTGTCCATATAACAGAAGTGTGAGAAAATATTCGATATGATTGCTTTCAATTGATATAATTTTATTTTTTTTATAATGATTTGTTCAAGCATGTATTAAAAGTGATCATGCTGTGCTCAACACCATCCACCACATGTAACGATTTTCTTTCGATCTTTTTCTTTTTGTGGTGTAACAGTCTATAGCTACTACTACTACTACTACCACTATTGAATATGATGATGTTTTTGGTTGAGGTTAAACAGTAGTTCAAGTAGGTACATGATATAATTGTTCAATATAATTGTAACAGATTATGTACATATACACGTAATATCCTCTCTTTTCTACCTATTTATCCTTTGTAAAAGTGAAAATGAGTTTATATGTTATGTAATAAGACTGGAGGCAATAAATTAAATTAAATATTTTGGGATCAAAATAAAGTGGAAAAAATTTTTTTTTTCTCCTAATTCTTCATACATCTTAAACTTAGGTTAGATAATTGGCAGAACTCTTTCATTGTTTACTATAAATAGTCCAATTCATTTTCTTATTTTGGAATAATAATTGGCACTCATCGCTTTTTTTTAAATAAAACTACGTATCATCTCTTCTATGTATTAAAACCAAACAACAAACTGTTAAGTCTTCTGATGAATAAACCACATGCATGTAATACATCTCACTTATTTATTAATATCACGTAAATATAATAGTAATGGTAGCATACAAATCGTTAGATGAATGACATAATGAGATATACCTTGGTTTCTTCTGTTAATATAAAATCAAAATGATTGATTTATACAAAAAAAGAAATAATTAAAATTTTAAAAGAAATAGAGAAGATCTATCGGCTCATTCCCATCTTGCAAGCAATTTTATTTTTTATTGTTTTATCATATCCCAAATTGCAAGCAAAAACTTTTTTTTTAGACGTTGTCCAGTTTCCATTTTGCAAGCAAACTAATTAATAAAAAAGACAGTTTATGCTATAAATTTAAACGGTGTCTAATTAATTAATCATAATTATTAGAGTACTTAAATGGACTGTTTTTAATCGCAAAATAAAAGCTGTTTTTAGGATCAAACGGTTCATAGTCTAATCTAGTTTAAAGCATCCTAACCAAAGGTTGATTATGAAATAATATAAAGGAGAGATGAAAGACGATAGGAGACACTTCAGATTCATGCAATCATAGAGTTCTCAATACAAAATCATATTAGTGATAAAATGTATCTTGTTGCTGACAGAATTATAGAATTCATTCCTGTAATACACGATTTTGTCTTATATATGGACAAATGGATCTTAACCAACTGACATAAAAGAATATCTAGAACACGTAAGAAAACTGCCTACCGCTTCATATATGACAAGATGTGGAGTAGTGCATATTGTTATATTATATATTTATTATTAACTACTTTGTTTGCAAAACGGGAAATACAGAAAGTAGAGAAATAAAAAATTGCATGCAAAATGGGAAATGTAGAAGATGTGAAAACAGCCATTTATTTGCAAAATGCGAAGCAATGGATCTATCTGATTACTCGATGAAGAGTACTATCTATCTATATATTCATATTTTTTGACATAATATAGAGGTATTACTAGTCAATAATGAGTGTGCATGTACTGAAATTATATAGTTCACTATAAATCTAGTTTCCCAAATAAAAGATACGGATCTTATAAACGTTGTTTTTTACACTTAGAGAAAATCTTGAATTATTAACTCGTTTGTGTATGTTCTGAAATGGTGGTACAATAATTTAATTTGGTCAAACTGATATACTCTGTATAATTGAAAGAAGTTACATCATAGAATATTGATTCATCCATATCGCTTTGAGTTATACAATTTATTTATTTTTTTTTTTATTTAATTTCACTTTTTTTTCCTCTTCTTCTTCTTATGAAGAAAATGACCGTCGGCGATTAACTGTGTTCTATATTTGTGTACTGTGACAATTGAATTATTCACTTTCTACAACGAAAAATGAGCATAAAGTTCTTTTGAGTGTGTGTGTGTATTTTTCCGAAACAAATCAAGTCAAGGCTAATTGATGTTCGATCTAGTATATATACACGAATAGAGTTTTCTTTTGTATGTCTCTCATTGATTTTTGCTTTGTGATAACGAAAGAGTGAGAAAAAAGAGAAATTATATATTTATTTTTTATTTTTACAACTATATGTGTAACTAGAGATCGATATCTTAATAGAGGGGGGAAAAAAGAAAAAGAAGAAGAAGAAGAAAAAATTAACACAATTGGGAATAAAATTAAATCTGTTCAGATTTTGATTTTATGAAAACATTTAAAACTATAGAATTCAGAGAACTTTGATCTGATAGAAAAGTTAAAAAATATATTTGAAGACTTTTTTTTTATATATTTCCTATCAAATTGATATTATTTTTTTGTATAATTCAAGGCGTAGACTTCTGTACAAATGTTATACTAACAATATTGTTAAGGGTATACATGAGCAAATGAATTTAAAATGAACATAAAAATTCAATGTTTTATAGTAACGTTTTGATGTTTATTTTAAAAAATGTCACGGATTAACATGACATCCATTATTACTACAATTAATTAGATGAACTATAACCTGTGACATAATACATTTCAAAGTACTTACAATCAAAAAAAAACAAAAAAAAAGAAGAAAAAACCACGCGTTTGTCATATATAAAATAGATTAAGTCAGAGATTTAAAAATTCGATTTGTCTCGTAAAAATATGAGATGTTGAACTTATAAAAACATTTCTCATCACAGTTTTAGTTCTCGTTCAATCAAATTGTTTTAAACGAACAAGTCGTCTAACTGATGATAAAATTGTTAGAAAACTTTTTGATACTATTTTTACTAGTTAATAAAAAATAAAAAATATCTTATTAGCTCTTCGTATTTTTTGTTTCATCTATCTAATTATTGAATAAGAAAGGATTTATTCCTTTTAAAAAAGTGGAAACATGATCAAACACTTCTTATACACACATTTACGTATTTCTCTTCGTCTTCTGCTTATTCTTTTCAATAAGCAGTATGGTAACATAGTCATATACTCATAATGATCAAGTAAAAAACATAAAAAAAAGGAAGAGAGAAATCACTTGTTTAAAATCATATGAACACGGGACAAATTAATGATTGTATCAAAAAAAAAAAAAAAAAGAGCGATTTAATCTATTCGAGAAAAAAATATACTCATCAAAGAACATGTATATTTGAGTACTTCTTTTTCTTTATTGTAATTATAGAAAACACCGTCGTATAAAATGGACAGTAACAATAAATCTTTATGTGTAACATATGCGACGAACAATTTTAGAAGATTAGAAAAATCAGTATTATTCAAAAAAGCAGCACCAAGGTAGGCCTCGTGAATAAAAAAATAAAAGCTAAAATTTGAATAGCAAATGATTCTACAAGAGACATATTCCATAATAATAATATATCGATAATCGAAACAAGTAAAGTAAACTATACAACATACTCAAAAATATTATTTTTCATTATAATTTGTTAAAATTATTATTTTTCTAGAATATGTTTGATTAATAATTCTGCTCTTCCGATAAAACAATTACAACAGCAATCGAATCCTGTAAGAACGTCAATATATTCACGACTACAAATTGATAATAATAAATTATTTAATAATTTTTTGAAATTTTATTCAAAAAATATTCGACGACCAATGAATAATTCAATATCTAATAATAAATTTTCATCCGTTCAACCACTAAATAATAATAGCAATACTATCATTAATGATGAAAGAAAAACACAACAATCAAATAACGGTTTATTTCGACGTTTATGGAATCAACAAAGTGAATTTAATAAATGTATAATGGTAAATAAAAATTTTTTATTTTTAATTCAAATTTAAATCTGAGAATTGCATACAAAAATTGGTTTTAAACTTTATCTGCTCATGTGTTGTTCACTGTTTAGATTAAAAAGGTAGATGTATTAGAGTATGAAGTTATTTTATAAAATATGTTAGATTCTATAAATCCTAAAATTAAATAGGTTTGGAAGGATGATGTAGTTCTATCTATCTTTTTGAAATAAAGTGAACATTATCTATGACCTTCTTCCATTATGTGTGCTACGTTTTGTTTCATTTTTCATTATTCTCATCATTATTTGCGTTCAATTAAATGATAGACCATTTAAAATTTTCATCGTGCATTTATTTAAATGCAAAATATAATGGAAACTATTATTTAGTGAAAAGAAAAATCAAAAGAATATTTGAGTTTTTTTCTACTATTTTTTAACGACCACCAGTGATTGTTCCATGTAAATCGTTAATTGTTTGCTCGAGTGAGTTCAATACATTCAAACCATAATCGATCAATTGATTTTGTAAGTGTTTCTAGTGTGGTTTTAATCCAGCTAAAGGTTCACTAACAACACCTGTTAAGTTATTAACGATACCGGATAGGGCAGTTTGTCCAGCTGAGAGAATTTGTGAAAATTGTGCTCCGAAGTCTTTGAAATGCAACAAACAAAGGCAGCTTTTTTTACCACAATGAGAGTAAATTTCATCACAGAGTAACCCTTACCATCTGAGATATCTTGAATACTACACCCACCACAAATAGCTCCTAAAACTGCTGATAAACGTTGATTTACGAAGTAGTCTCCTAAACCACCAAGGGCATCACTGATTGATTGAAAGAAGTCATCGAAGCTTGTTGAAAGAAAATCACTTCCGCGACCACCGAGGATACTGGAGAGATTGAGGATACTTCCCAATGTACCACTGAGTTGATTTATGAATCCACCGATGAGTTGTTCTAATAACTGAAGTATTGCTTGAAAATTGATTGATCATCCTTGAAAACAGAAAAATTGATGAATCAAAATGTTAACGAACTTATTATTGCTTACATTATCTAAACTGTTAGCTAAATTTTGTAATTGTTGTGAAAGCAAGTTTAACATTGATTGTGCTGCTAACTGTCGTTGTTCAAGTAATTGATCAATGAATGCTAAACGATAATCTGTGGCCAAACAGGCACCAAGACGGACAACGAAAATAATAGCTAATGCGGTTTTCATTCTTGTTAGTTCAATTATTTTCTATTTTGACTATACTATAATACTCAAACTTATATCAGTTAGAAATACCTACGTTAATTGCGATGTGATCGAATATAATTGTTACTGATTATAGAAGAATCATATTTTCTTACTGAGATTAACGGAACTACTGACTAACTGAAATTTTTTCATAAAAATGTATACGTTAGTGGGCAACATTATCTAATACCATGTTGTATCTCAACGGTCAACATAGCTGCTTTAGTCAGTTTAGCTCATTTATTCTTAAATATTCATTCATTTTTACTTCATTCATCACTCAAATATAAATAACACTCGAATAAAATAAGATAATCATTTACTCATGCACATAAATGACTGTCAGCTAACTATAGTAAGAATTTTACGTGTTAACGCCTATTAAGTAAAAGTTTAGAATCATCGTACGATTGTGACAGTCCCTTTCGCCTTTTTGTGTCTTCTTCGCTGCGAACTTTGAATGTAACGTATGTAGCTCTTTGTTGATAGTTCTTCAGCTTTACAGGAACCGTAGGCGCTTTAATTAAAAATAAACAATGTCATAAATGCAAATCAAGTCCGTTTGAGATTCTTAATAGATATGAGCGATAATGATGGATGTAATATCGTTTTTTTCGAAATTCTGCTACTCAGAATCAATAAATGGATTGAGTCAAATCATATCTTGCGGTTGAACAGTCTGGTTTTAGATCTACTGTAAGTGCTTGTTACAGACAAGAGTTTTGTCTATGTATCAAACTATAAACAATAATCTTTCACGAAGTGTTTCATCGTTGACAATATATGTTGATTATAAAAGACTTATGACTATGTAATGCATAAAATTGTTACCATAAGATTTGACAAGCTGGGTATGCCACTCAGTGTTACAAAGACTGTTTGAAATTGGTAATGTGAAAGAAAAGCTAGGTTGACTTTTAGAAAATGGAAACCCGGTAGTTTCAAAACAATTTTTTCCTTTTTATCCATTTATTGTATTTTTCCATAATGATTTATCAGACAAACTTGGTACACATTCAAACCATCTATTCGCAGACGAACTGTGTAGCCCCCCAATTAGACCCAAACTAGATATGTAGATTATTGTCTATAGTTTGATACATAGACAAAACTCTTGTCTGTAACAAGCACTTACAGTACATCTAAAACCAGGCTGTTCAACCGCAAGATATGATTTGATGCAGTATGTTAAAATATTTAGTAGAGAAAAGAAGGAGAGGAACGAGAGTATGTATAAGAAAACTTTAATTTTTTCACAGTGGAACTGTGTTTTAAGTTTTTCATTACCAGATACAGAGGCTAAAGATTGCTCTATCAATGACTGATTTTAGACTCGAATAAGTAACATTATTCAAATGTCTTGGTTTCTTATGGGCAGATAAAATATCCCTTAAACTGACTGTTAATGAGGCATTAAGTAAAACACGATCATCCTTCGGAAAAATGAAATGGCTATTTTTGAGTGATCAAGTGTCGATTAGACTGATCCGAAAACGTTTATGCTTTTTCATTTCTCTCATGGTTGTTCTCCTATCTATACATTTCTAACCAAAACACACGTGCAATTGATTAACAGAAAATTTAGAGTCAGATCAAGATTAACTCATCGATGTCATTATGTATAAGCGGAAAAACTGTTTGATATCTGATTTGTTATGACGATACTTGTGAGGATATTTTATCCCGGATACACAGTGGGCATTTAGGTGGCATTTTGGTGAAAAATCAGAGGTTCGAATTTTTATATTTTGAATGATGACATATATACTATAAATAATGCCCTATTTAACGGTGAAAAGTTTTTGGCTCTAGCTTCTTCCAAAATTGAGAAAATTAAATTACAAAATTATCAGTAGTATTAGTATGCTGGCGCGTAAAATTGCATTTTCTCCGTCAAATTATAAGTTTTTTTCAAAAACAATGACATATATAGAATCGCCATCNCCACGGAACTCATCTAAAGAACAGACGTCTTCATAAAAATGCAATCGCTAAACTCCGCAGAGCAGCTATTGATATGAAAAATAGCTCAAAATGTTCGTCTCAACCTCCTCTACAGATACTGATCTTGCAAAGTCTCCCAACTCTAAGAGTTAAAGGCTTTCCAAAAACCTTTTTGGAAAGCCTCTAACTCAGCACTCCTTGTATTTTTCATATCAATAGCTGCTCAGCGAAGTTTAGTCTCATAGTTCATATGCATTAATCTCCGACAAGTGTGAACGCATTAGATTAATCTAAATACATGGAGATAAAACTTTTTTATGCATTCGAACGCGTGAAAAATTTAAAGAAGCTGAA